GGCTGAGGTCCTGGAAGTGAGAGCTTGTGAGAGGATTTCCGGTTGAGAGGGATAGAAGTCCTAAGGAAAAGGGAGTATACCCCGGGCTGGATTACAAATTTAATTTCTTACTTGGCACATCACAGCAAGAGGAATGGTAGAGGGGAGGTAGAAAAGGAGTGGGCTACCTTTTGAAGTAGAGAGTTCTGTATTGTTTGACTACCTGTATGAATGAGCGTTCACCCAGAAACAAACACTAGTAGATGGTGTGTGTGTGCCCACACAAGTATGTACACATGCACACACTTTAATCTCCTAGTGGTTGGTTCTATTCCTCAAATGAATATTATATACAGATATATATACATATGTATGTTTATATAGAGTTAATATATTTGTATTACTTATTTACTAAAGTGATTTTGCCTTCTACAAGTCCACAATTGTGAGAACTGGCTAAGTAGTCTGTAAGTCCATTGAATCATGTCTGATGCTGAAGCTTGCAGTCCACTGGGCCGGCAGGTAGGAAGGAAGATGGTTACAAATACCAGGGAAATTTAGGAGCAGACTGGAACTCACAAGCATGAGTCAGAACTCCACAAGAACTAACATGAACCTTAGTTTTCACTGCTTTCCAGCTTGCCAATGTGGATGACCTGCTGGAGCTAAGCCTCTTCTCAAGTAGCTAAACACACACATCTGGACGAGGAGCTGGAGGAGGATCTGGGGAAGGGAGAGCAGTTGTAGCCCAGAGACTGCTTCCTACCAACCAGGGGAACCAGCAGATCAGCAACAGTGTGTGAGCTGCAAAGTGGCTGCTGCTTCCTGACCATCCTCCAGGTCTCCCAAGAATCTCCTCTGTGGACTACACTAACCAGAAACACACAGGAAACTGAATCCTGTGCAATGCAATTCAATGCAGTCAAGTTGGCATATTATAAAGCCACCAAACATCTGGGAAGGAATACTGCACCTGGGGGAGGGTTGACTTAGGTCTCTCCAGAGGCCCAGCAGAAGCTCAGGGAACCCAGGAGTTCTGACTGTTCAGCACCCAGGTCACTTTCCAGCCAGGAAGGTTCCCTGTGCACCTGTGGATTCAGCTACTTTCAACACCTTTTTCACTAGTGATTTCCATTTCCTAAAACCAGTCAAAGAATAGGGAAGTCTTCCCAGCTCCTCCCTTCCTTACTCCAAAGGTCGACTCATCTGCCTTCTGTGTTTCAAAGATTTACAATAGCATGCATTATTATTATACATAACAACAATAGCTATCATTATATATATTCACTGAGAATATGTAATATGCCAGATCCTTTTATACACACACTCACATTAAATTCTTACAATAACCCTGTATGGAAAGTACTGTTACCTGAATTTTACTGATGTGGAAATTAAAGCATGAAGAGATTACTTCGCTCTATGTCAGACAGCTGTATGTGTTGGAGCAGATATTTGAATGCAAGACATTCAGCTTTGGAGCAACACCAACACTGCCACCATCAATTCCACCATCGAAATAACAGATAAGGGAAATTACCATATGGTTAAGAGCGTCCTCAAAGGGTTTTACAGTTCAGGCCTCTGTATCTAGAATCTCCTATTTCCTTCCAAGTTGGAGAATGTGTGATTCCGTGAGAAGAAAGAGAGAAAGTAAAAGGGTAAACGAAAGAGTCAAAAAAATAAAAACTAAAAACAGACAAGGAGGCATACAGGAGGCACTGAAGAGATGAATTCAAGAAGGGGCAAAGAGGAGGAAGAAGAGAGAGAAAAAATTTTCCTGTTTTAGTACTACTTCCTTACCCCCATGGGGAGACATGGGGTCTCTCTTGTGATCACTACAATGAGCACACATAACTATTAAGGTGGGCGTAGCTAATCCACACAATAAATAAAGCCAAAGGCACAGTGGTGCCAACTGATGACCTTCAACTAATTTAAAAAGGTAAGTGTCAAAAAAGAGCTCAAAGGAAGACCAAGGAATGCGAATAGTGGTTTCAGCAGTTGTACAGACCTGGGTCCCCGGGGATGCCTTCTGAGCAGTCTCAGGACAGGTCAGATGCTAGGCCACCACAGTGTTGGCTCATGAGGACAGTCAGGCAGTCCTTCAAGTCTACTCCCAGGAGACAAAACCAGCATGGAAGCCTTTGAAAATCACTGGCATGCTGGTGCACTGGACTCTGGTTGCTGAAGAAATATAATAGGCCCAAAGTGTTGCTCTCAACCAGCATCTTCACCATGCACCTGAGCAGCTGCGGTTCAGGGCTGCTGTGAGCCGCTGCTCCGTGTGATGGTGACTCCGTGACGCACACCCCTGCCCACCCAGCACAGAGGTGCTCATCCTCCATGCTCCACTCAGTACCACCCTCCGTCTCAGCTCAGTGCTTCAGAAGAAGCACAGCTCTTCTGGGCTTATTTCTCTCTGTTCCGTATGATAATTAATTGTGTACCTCCCTGAGTTCCTTGAGCAGAGGGACTGCACCCTGCATTTCCCCGCATTTCCATTAATGACACTCCAAGCACCTTCTATACCTTAGTCATGGCACTGCTTCCTTTTCTAAGTTCACACCAGCCTGACTACTTTAAAGCCTGGAGATCCTTTCTTCCCAAGGTCTCTCCAAGTTCTCTTCTTGGTCCTCACTGGCACTGCCCCTAGATGACTTCATCACATCTTTTTCTAGGAGTAGATGACTAATCTTCAAACATCTCCACCACCTTCGATGCATGATTTGTCTCCACTTGAAGGAGATAGCATTGTTTCTAACTGTTTAAATGCTGCTTAAGACTGCCCCGGAGGTGAACATCCAGGACCTCAATGCCTTCAAAAACTCTGCTTCATATTCTTTTTATTTTTTTTAACCATGTGACTGGTTTCTCCCAATAGCAGTTCCAAAGGACCTTTGCTCTTCCTTCTATAGCTTGTTGATTCATCCTTCGTAATGGAACAAGACAGAAGACGACTGCAGAGTTCCTCCATTACCTTTGCTCCTGGTGGGAACACAGAGCACCGAGCAGCCTCTGTGTTTAAAAACCGTAACTTTTAAAACAGAATACACCAATAAGCGATACGGCTACTACACACCTGTATAATATTTTCTCCCTGTGAAGCTCTTTTGGACACATTTATCTTAACAATCACAAGATACTATTGTTTCCACTTTATAAATAATACAACAGAGGCTCAGAGCACTGTGGTGGCTTGTGTAGGGTCTCATGGTTGCCGAGTGAGACCCCAGGGGCAGAGTTCAGTATAAAACATGAATCCCTGAGTCTAGGTGAGGCGCAGTCTGAGAGAACTTGTATTCCATTACTCTGGGTGCTTACTGATTTTAAACTTTTAAGCCATCACATATCTATATATTTTCAACCTTTGTCTATAGGCAGAATGCATTAGAGAGATTTATTTGACAGGCAATATAGAAAAGATGACTGTTTTCAGAAGCTACTGCTCCCCAGTCTTCCTTAGGTAGAAAACCTTAATCTGTCTTCCCAAATTCACTCCACCTCAGAGAATAGCTTTGTGGATGGAAAAGCAATAATAAAAGACCAAACTCAGTCCAGCTGCAAATGATCGGCCTCTTCTCTCCAGTGTGGTAAATTACAGGCTTCCCCCAGGTCTGCCAGTTGCCTACATGCCTGGTGAGCTCATTGGAATGACCTGGCCAGCTACAGGGGAGAGCGCTCTCCCACTGCCACCCCTGTTTCTCATTCAGCTCCACTCATTAGAAGAGGCCGGGGCACAAGCCAGGTTAACATGTCAATAAGTCACCAAGGAAGTACAAAAACTGACAGCTAAGGAATCCCAGCTCCCAGCCTTCTCCACTCCAGAAACCCGCAGAAAACAGGCTTCTCAGACTCTTCGCCAGGTCACTTAGATGAGTGGTGACATTTGAGTCCCTCAGAGTAATTAATTTCCTCTGTTTCCAATAGCTCCTCATATGTTTAATGAGTTTTTACAAGATTCAGATCCTCCAACCTCCCAGCTCCCTCCCCAGTCCCACTGTTCCCCAAGGTCCCATAACAAATAGCTCCCATTCGTATTTGCCTTGCAAACTCACATAAACTGGAAATGATAAATACATTATCTGGGCTTTTTAACGGACCATTGTTTAATTTTCTATGCTTGTCTGGCTGGGGAAGAGATGAATATTACCTTGTGAAGAATAAGATTTCTATTCCATTTAAGGGGGGTCGAGGGTAATCTATGGCAGGAAAGCAACACTCCGTTCATCCTAATAGGCAGTGCTAATTAAAAGTGTAAGGAAGGGACATCCATCCAACAGTCTGTGATTCATTCAGCATTATCCCTGGTAAACAAGAAATAGATATCGGGATGAATGCTTCCAATTTGTCAAAAGAAGAGACATTTTCAATTGTGCCTTCCTCGCTCCCCATATGAAGTACGTAATTCAGTGCTGCCATCATTTAAAAGTTTAGGACCTCAAAATAATAGGACCTGCCCCTTTAACTCATAAATCTCCAAGTCTGTTTCCTATGTGAAAACACTTATCTCAGATATGGCTTAACTTTAGTTTCCACAATTGTGGATGGTTCTTCTGATGGTAAGTACATTGTAATGCGGTGGGGTGGGGGAACATTGGAGAAGAGAGAACTAATGTGGTTGTATTTAAAAATCAAACCAATCTGAGACAACCTATTAGGGTATGAAACCTGGGCAGGAAAACTTAAGGCCTTGAATGATATTTACTAGGTGTTTAAAGAAAAGAAGAAAGAAAATTAATATTTTCTTTCTCTAACCACAAACACAAAGTAGATCAGAGAGAAGCCACCCTAAGCATCAATTCCCAAAGGGTCTAGGAACCCTCCAGGGTGTTTTAAGGCAGAACACAAAGCACAAAAGCCCTTACTTCAAGCGGACCCAAACACATGTGAACAATTCACCCTGACAGGAAGATTCCCCCGATACCAGCAAGACAACCAGCCTCAAATATTTACCTTTATGTTGTGCGAAAGAGTCCCTCAATCATGAAGACTTAGAGTCAGGGTCTACCACCATGTCTTGCTGTTATGTTGTGCGAAAGAGTCCCTCAATCATGAAGACTTAGAGTCAGGGTCTACCACCATGTCTTGCTGAATGCTGAAAACAAAAAAAAAATTATTTAATGATATTACTTTTATTCTGTCTCTTTCATTCAAGAAACACTTACTAAGTTCCTACCATACACCAGGCACAGGTAATACAGAGACGGATAAAACAAAAACATCGCATTGTAAATACTGGATGAGAAGTGGTACACAATACCTCTTAGGTAGGAGGGAATCAGGATATATGTGTATGTGTTAGTGGGTGTCTCTTCCTGAGACATGTGTGTGCACACACTTACATACATCTACACATACACAGAAGTGTGTAAGAATTTTTAAAGAACTCCCCCATATTTGTAATTCATCTGACTCTCTTAAAGGCTTGAGCTCTTACCTGGAGATCAGTAAAGAAGAGGGCACTGGAGAAAATGTCAAGAGTCTTAAAAGTGATCAGACCCTTTAATCTGCAGTTCACCTGCAGGAGGCCTTCTTGAGGAAACAGTCATGAATGCAGGACAATATTTATGCACTGAAATTATCATCACAATATTATTTGTACGAGGGAAACAACAGAGTAATGATCAAGTGTATGTTAGTATTTCTATAAAGAATAATAATATGCACAAAGATAATTTTTAAAAATTCAGGATATGGGATGATATGTATAACAAAATTGTTTATAGAATTTAAGCTCATCCATGCAGAAGTTGGTCTTAAAAGATGTGCCAACTATTAACAGTGGTTGTCTCTTTGTAGTATGAGTATAGATTATTTTTCTCATTTCTCGATGCTTTCCAAATTTTCTATGAAGATCATGTATTATTTCTCTAGATGGAGAATAAACATACAAAGAGAATTTTCAGCTGCAATATCATCATTTCTGTGCCACTTCCCCTGTACCTGCCCTATTTAACTGGGGACTCCATGTTTCCAGTAAGAGTTCCATTCTGAAGGTAACACTGCACTGGAATTGTCTATTTCCATCTCTGCCTCCCTCTAGTTGAGAGCTCCTTTGAGGAAATTATTACACCTTGTTAACCTTTGCTTCCCAAACACCTAGACCAGAGACAGGTCATAGTTGTGACTCAAGTGATGTTTGCTGTATAAAACAAGGAATGAGTGAGCAAGGGAATGAATAAAAGACTTAATAAATAGAACTAACTTGAAAAAAATTATATTAAGAAAATAGTTCATTAAAAAATATCAGTGATGATAAAGGTTAAGTTCCATATGGATTCACTAAAGATACAAGAACATAAAAAGCAGAGAGAGAACAATTTTTCAGAGAAGACAGTGAAACTGAGAAAAAAGAGCCTGTGGTTAAAAAAAGTTAAAAGAGAAAAAAACCCTTAACATAATGGAATATCACAGCCTACTGATCTTCCAAATGTATTCCAAGACCAAGAATCTGTTTAAGGCAGGAATATTTATCTAGTAACAATACCCCATTATAGCAACTCAGTTATTTTACATATTTGGAGTTACATATACATAAACTAAGTAGATACTTGTTATTAGTTTTAATCAGCAATGACTGGTTGACTCCCTCAAGGAAAAATAGCTGAAGGATAGATTATTGTAATGTTTTATACAAATTCAATTTAGTTCATAAAACTAGTGAAATATAGCCATGATACTAATTTACAGTTATATTGCTCTGACTTGAATCTGATAGAGGTATATCTGAGCTGAATCCCATCTCTGTCTTTTAAGAGCTGGGTAAAATTGGACAAATTATTTGACCACTCTAAGGCTCAGTTTTCTTACACATACAATGGGATAATAATACTAACTTGATAGAGTTATTGTAAATAAATCAAATAAAATGAGAAAAGGTATGGCATTCAAAATAGGCTCTAGGTTCATGCCTGCTTACATAGAGAGCTGTTTACATAGATAGGTCTTCCTTTTTATTACATGCCAGGAAGGGTGTGAAGTATGCTAAGCACTCTCCAGATCCCTCATTTCATCACAGTACTTTTTATAAGGAGGAACTCTTTTTCTACTTTATAACCCTTTTATTTCTATAAAATTGGCAATAATGTCTCCTCTTTCATTTATGATTTTAGTTATTTGAGCCTTTCCTCTCTTTTCTTAATCAATCTAGCTACAGGTTTGTAAGTTTTGTTGATGTCATTGAAGAACCAACTCTTGGTTTTGTTGATTTTCTCTACTGTTTTTCTATTCTCTATTTTATCCTATTTTTCCCCATTGAAGATGAGGAAACTGATGCCAATTTTTTAAAACGTCATTAAGGGTCTGAGTCAATATTGAAAACTTGACTGGTTTCAGAATGTCTGGTTCCAGGCCCTAATCTCATCAAGCATTATTAAAAGGAGACACAGAATCTGGGTTTGTGCCATATTTGATTCACAACAAAAATAATTTTACAATTTTGCTCTGTCACACCATATTGTTTGATATGCTATGGCTTGAATTTTATTCCCTGTTAGTCACACTTAAGTAACCTCCTATGTCTTTTCTTATTAAATATTTCTAGCAGGATGTTGAGTAGAGCCATAATTATAACCAAAACCTGTGTACTAATACCCAGCCTGGTCAGATATGATCATTCTGCTCTATTTGCTCCAGATTTTTTCTTTTAAACTAAAACACTATAGATATAAGCAAATTATCCTATCAATTTATTCTTAATTCCTCAAAGATAACTACTCTTTTAAATTTCCATGCATGTTTTTCTTCTAATATGTTTGCATTGTTTTACATGTTTTAGAACTCTGTTTAAATGGTATCCCACTATAAGCATCCATCTGAAGCCTGCTTTTTTTTGTTAAATATGTTTTAAAGATTTTGCCACATTGATAGAATTGGCTTAAATTATTTTGCTTTAACATGTAGATATCATTTTATCATATGTTTTCATTCAGACTTAATCATTCATATTAAAGGGCATTTGTACCATTTCAAAATTGGGCTAATACAAATAATGCTGCAGTGAACATTGGTATTCTCCTTGGGCACATATGTGTGAGATTTCTCCATGGACTTGCTGGCCCATCAAGTATATGAATCTTCAAAGTTATTAGATGTAACAAATTGCTCTACAAAGTGGCAGTAGCAATTCATACTAATCCAGCATTAGTTCACATCATTACCAACATTTGGGATTGCCAGGCTTTAAACATTTTCCTATCTGATGAATATAAAATATCTTGTATTTTAGTATGCATTTCTCTAATTACCAGTAAGACTGAATAATCTTTTGTTATTTTTATATTACATTTTTATATTCCATTTCTTCTGCTTTTTCTATGCCCCTTTTCCTATTGAGTTGTTACAGGAGGGAGGCAACATACACTAAACAAAGAAAAAAGCAAACTACCTAGCATGTCAGATAGTCATATGTGCCATGGGAAAGCAGAGGCACGGGAGGGGAATGAAGAGTGCTCAGGCAGGGGTTCAGTTTTGAATAGGGACAGTAAGTAAGGGTAAATAAGGAACCTTACCACCAAAGTGACATTTAGCAAAGTCCTACAATCAGTGTGGGCACAAGCCAAGGGAAGAAACAGCAAAATTGTAAAATTATAATATTTGATCAAGATTGTAGTGGTATACAGGGATGTGTTTAATTATATTCTAAACCAATTTGTATGCTTTGGATACAACCCTTTTGCAGTTATATATGTTTTAACTATTTTTTCTAGTCCAATGCTTGTCTTGTTTTGTTTAAAGTAGCATATAAAACTTTAAAAATTTTAATGTAATAAAATATATTAGCAATTCCTTTTAAGATAGGTGCACTTTTTGTTTTATTCAATACATCCTTTCTACCCCTGGGTAATAAAGATATTCTCCTGTAATTTTTCCTAAAGTTTTTAAAGTTAAGCCTTTGTATTTAATCCACTTGGAACTGATATGCTTTATATGATGTCAGGTTACGATTCAATAAATTTTCTATACAGATAAGCATTGTCCTTGTACCACTTATATGTTAGTGTATGACTTCTGCATTGATTTGTAATGATGTATCTATCTACAGTTTCCAATAAGTAGTCTATTTTTGGGCTGTTTTAGTTTTCTATTCCTGGGTAAATACCAATACTACCTTAATTATTATAATTTCATCTTAAGTTTTCACTGTAGGGCTTATCCACCTGTCCATCTTCCCATCCATCCATCCAATTATCCATCCATCTACCATTATTATTCATAAATATTTGTTAAAAGGCTAACTGTGCCAAATACTGGTTTGGTCACTGCAGAATTAATAACAAACTAAATAGATATTTCTGCCCAGATGGAGCTTACATTTCAGGGGATGGAAAGACACTAAACAAGTAAGTGATAAATATAGAGTATGTGCCATGGAGAAACATGAGGCAGGAAAAGAGGATTCAGCTCATGTTAGCACCTGATATAATATATAAACTAAAAAATCTAATGGGATAAAAATTAACTGACTTTAAATACACACCAGACATTTAGAACTTACAGGAAAATTTTAAATGCTCATGCTTAGAATCTACCAATCGTTTACAAGTTTTGGTGGAAAACCTCTACCCCTGAGGAATGGTACAAAAATGCAACCTGTCTTTGTCAGGCTGTGTCCACATAGGAAAGTCTATATTAGTCTCTAGAAGGAGAGGTCTGAGCACATATGTATTCTATCTGGTCCTTTACTGTGGCCTAAGGACACAGGTCTTGGCCCAGAATAAGACTGCAGTTTGTCAGCTGGAGAGTATGGAAACCTAGAAAAGTTCCTGCTTCTGGAAACCTGGGAAGAAGCCCAGAGCTCTCAAACACAGCTCCCAGAGAAACCGTGTGTTATAAACTGTCTGTATGTGCTACATGGTTAAAATGGAATGAGCACTTACTTATCACTTTCCACAATCTTAGCCACTTTCCCCAATTTATAGAGTAAAAAAGCCAATGGATAGTTGGTTTTCAAAGTTTGTTTGATGCTAGTTTTCACGTTTTTCTCAGTTATTACCACTACTCTGCATGAAATTTAGTTATCTTTTCTTATTAACACAATGGGCTCAGTATAACTCTGGGCAAGGTCTTTTACCTTTCTGAACTTCAGTTTCCTCA